CACTCTCGACGCTATCCTCATACAGTACATCTCTACGAGCGAGCCGTCCGTGCTCTCAGCGCGTACATTCACTCTCGACGCTATCCTCATACAGTACATCTCTACGAGCGAGCCGTCCGTGCTCTCAGCGCGTACATTCACTCTCGACGCTATCCTCATACAGTACATCTCTACGAGCGAGCCGTCCGTGCTCTCAGCGCGTAAATTCACTCTCGACGCTATCCTCATACAGTACACAGCCACGGCCGAGGATTTCGATATTCACCCTGATATATTCAGATTGAAAACAGCAGCCCACGGCCAATGGCTCACTTCCCCAAGTATAGGCCATTTCCTTTGGTTTTCTTTTTACTGCATAATTTCTTAGCACCTTCACCACCGATTTTTATATCTAGCCAAATCACCACTCTCTACTCCCGGAGACTCAGCACCATTCTCGAAACACATGAGAATTCAGTAAAGTAAAGAAAAACGAGGACTAACACCGCCATTTTGTGAACAAGCTGTCGATGTCCATGAGGTAGGTGAGGATTTGGTAAGGTTGCGAGAATCGTGGCATGTCTCTGAAAAGTTCACTCGGGGTTAAAAAGCTTTACATGTGCGAGGATCGTAAGAGACAGGCTGTTCGTATACTGCTGTATCCTAACCTAAACGCGGTTACAAAGAAGAACAATGAAAAGCAAAACTCATGTACCGGTAGAAATAAATCATCAGCGCTCCTTTCATGGCATCATGCGAAAGCAGACGAGTGCCTGAAAAGGAAATGAAACTGGAAAGCATCCAACCTTTGGCGTGAAAGATAGTGGAGCGAGTTCAAATGTTCTACCCGCCAAGTGTGTTGCATATTAACCCTTTGACGCCGGACGCTGACGCTTTGAGGCTCTGCGATTCCATCTGATCCTTCAGTTGCAACAGTGCCAGAGGAGGATATATAGTAGATTACAGCTTTCAGGCTCGCTTACATAACCGTCTGCAGAAGTGGAAAGGCCATACCGTTTAGAATTTGTTGTGCGTGTTGCTTGGGATCCAATATGGTCGCGAATGAATCCTTCGTCTTGTAATACTCAGCCAACAAGCTGATCGTGGACGTTTTGTGGGAGGGACTCGTTCTAAAACGAATCAATACTTATTGTTAGAGGTGTTTGGAAGGGAAAAAGTGAACTGAAATGGTTACCATGGCTTCATCGTACAGGTCGCTTAAATACCGTTTCACGGCTTGTTCATACCTCGGCCAGAAGCCCTCCTCTTCCTCACCGTTGATTGCCGCCAGCGTCAAACCAGGAGTCCTCTCCAGCCAGTTCTTAAGAAGATAAATTGACACATAAGAGAGGTTTTCTGAAGAACGCATATGGTGCATCGAATCTATATGAGTGCTAGATCATAGTTGGAAAGAAAAATTCAGAGCAGCAAGCATGTACATGGCTCATCTTGGAGTATCAGTGCCCTTCTTATAGTGATGTGATCAAAATCACAAACAGACTTAGGTTGACTAATCATAATTTCTCCAAGTAATGAAAATGCAGACAGTGCGTAAGCATGAAAAAACCCCAATAGTAGTCGACGCTAATTATGTACGTCAAATCAGCGAAGCTCCTCCATTAAGCTCTAGCAAACAAACCAATGCGCACGCATCTTGTTTAACCATTTTTGTCCTTTGCGCGGGTCCTTACGAAGTTATCTGACATGTCCGGCAGAGTCAACCCTGCGTTGCGCAGTTCGCAACGGCACGTTGAGAGATCCTCAACGCACGCTGTATGGGCGGAGACACAGACGGCTCGAGCATGCGAGTGTGAATGTTCGCGCGAGAGAACGTGTCTAATCGGGCGAAACTGCGCAACGTGGCCGTTGAGAACTGCGCAACGCAGGGTTGACTCTGCCTCAGGCCGAAAGTATGCAGCGCAGTCTTAGACGACGACTAGCCGAAGAAAGTGTACGTTCCTTTCTACACACTACGTGTCAACATTGATAATATAAATAATTGGAAGACTACACTTATCAAACCTTTTGACACATAAGCATTTTTGAATTATCCTTAGAAAACTATGACTTACCATGCACGAGTGTAAGAGTGAATGGTTCGGATTCGCTTTGCCAACAGCTTTTCACATCTCTCTCATCGAGAAAACGCTTGTAGGTGCTGAGCGTTGTACTAAATTGGTAACAAGTAAGCCTTGATTTCTTGTTCTTCTTATGTAACTTCACCTCACGTTCTTGCTTAAAGGCAGTGAACAAAGAAGGAGACGAAGAGATTTTGATGATTCATCAACTCTAGTGAGTCATGAGGGCCGGACCCCTCACGGGGCTAAAGTTGCAGATCATAAAGGATTACCCCACCTTTTCTCCAAGAACCAGTACTATTACCTAATCTCCATGTCGATCATCTTTCACTATAATTCATGCCCGTATCCATGGACATCCTCTTGTACAAGTTGCGTCACACATCCCGCCCCTACTTCATGGTTTTGAATGAGGTTAAAGACATTTTTTAAAATCTATTTCACATTATTTCTGATTCATGATTTCACTGGTTAGAATTCGGATCATAAAGGACCAATAAAAAGTAATGGTACTAATTATTCATGCTAATCTCCATTTTGCGCGAATTTTGGAACGTCAACTCGAAATGCAAAAAATTTGTCACCGAGGAATCGAACTAGGGACCCTTTTCTGGTATTCAGAGGGCCGTTCAGGAAAAATGAACCATGGTTCTGTGGTCCCCAGGCGTTTGTCTCCATAATCATCTAGCAAACCGTGCAACGCCTCCTATTCTAGACGCGCGCTACAAGCCCCGCGTACTCTTGACGGGATAACCGCTTAAACACAGCTAGGCCCACCCAGTGGCGATGTGGTGCGTGCTGCGTAACGTGTGACTCAGCTGGGTTATTGCCGTTATCCCTCGATGAACCTTGGCATTATCTGACAAAACTCGTTGAAGTGCCTCTCACAAAAGCCAGCCCCCTCCACGCTAGTGGAGCTTTGTTTCGGATGTTCTTTTCGTTTTTCTCTCACTTTCGTTCCACTTCGCATCTGTCCATACTCTTTTTTGTTTTCTTTTTTACAGCCGCCACAATACCACAATATATTTGGCCCTTCCTTTGCCTTCAAGTCCGGTTCCTTTTTAAGTTTAGTAGCGAGCGATTTTGCTGGACACAAACCACCAAATAAACAAACAAACAAACAAAGGGTAGACCGACGCGTCAAGCTCCTAGTTCATTAATAAATCTTTGTATTAAAGAACTTCCATTGATGTGTTGCTGTAGGTAACTGCCAGTAACAGTACGTAGCTACGAAGTCTTGTACATATACCCATAGAGTATTCGCATTCGAGCATTAATAAATGGTTCACCTTAATTCGTCGTTCAGAGCGCACTCCCATTTTGTTTTCCAGAAGTCTGAACTGCAGCGACTGAAATCCGGAGGCAGGCGTTAGGTATTTTCTGGAACAAGAAGCAGCTGATTCATGTCACGACAAAGTTCGAATGATCTAATGAGATAAAAGAATTTTCGATGAACTTAAAGTCCTCTGCTAACCTGAAATCAACGAAGTCAAGTGGACTCATCGTGTCAAGAATAGTGATTTGATCGACGAGCAGCTTGAGGATTCTAACAGTTCGATCCAGGCCAGAGACGATTCGAAGAGTCTTCGTTTCATCCACAATCTAGGAGCATTTCAACATAGTGCACCGAAGAATGCTTGGGAAGATATGCTATGACCTAGCTTCTTGTACTTTCAATTTTCATCCATTCCCATACTTTTTGATCAGAGTATGATGGTGGTGGTGTTATGGCAAGTGGCGCGCTTACCACGCGAGCGGTCCGGGATCAAATCCTGGGTCGTGAGTCGCCCGGGCCAACCAAGCCTTCCATCCCTCCGGGGTCGGTTAATTGGTACCAGACTTGTCTGGGAGGATAAAACACTGACTTGAACATCGGCTCCCTCCGTCTTCGTTGCTCAATTAGTCAAACCCTCCAGAGATGTGCTTGTAGCATAAAGTGAAGCAACTGTGAAGTTTATGAGCATTCTCATTAGAACCACACTGACGAGACGTTCGGATGGCGCCACGAGCAGGTCTCATTTCGAAATTGAACCTGCATTCTAATAGGTATAAAGAATACTACAAACGTCATGTGTTATTCAATATTCGTTGAGGACAAAGGTAGAACGGCTCAAATGAATTACAAATGATTACAATATATAATCAAGCATAACAAGTGAAGCTACCGGCGAACTGTTTTAGAGCGCTAAAGGAGTCCGCGAGTTATTTTGCAATTTTTATTCGAAACGGGTGAAATTTGAGGCTGTAGTAGCTGAATGACTAAATCATGTAAAAGAGTTTAAGACTGGCATACAGCTGAGTCACGGGTTACTCCCTACGTTAACATACACATTGCTAGAGAGAGCGGGTGGGCCACCGCGCGAACGCGGTGGGGACATCGCGCGATAAATATTGTTCGAAAGGTACCGTATCGTAGCCAAAATCACATCAACCAAGTTTTATTTTTGGGAGACCTTTGCATAAAAGTGATTGAGTGGTCTTAAGTTATTTGTTCACCGTTTATTTGATTTTCTTTGTGACGACCCGAATGCTGAATTTCTAAG